CGCTGGTAGAAAACAAGACGGGCAGTATATAACGCAAATTATCTTACAACGAACCAAGAGCTTTCTCCTCAAATACTAGATTCTCATTATAAAGCAATAAAGAAGAACTGCTGGGTTCAGGGAAACCTTTTCGCCGAAGCTGCAGACGGCCAATCCAACGCAAGATGGAATCAACTTGAGCCACAATATTTCTACTTGCTCGTGAAAAAAACAAAACACTTTAGTTTAGAGCTAATAACCGCTCTTAACTGGAATTTCTTATAAATTTAATTGGACAAACAATAGGGTTAAAGGCTAGAAGTCCTGCTTTTCTTTCTTTTCGAATAGTGTATAATTTGACAATAGGATGATCCTACTATAATAAATTAGCTCAAAAGTGCCAAATAGAATTTGTCGTCTTTCGTTTATAAACCAGAGACGAGTTTTGCTAAGCTCATCGTTACCAGTAAAATTACAGAGTAAAAGCTACTGTTATCTCTTTGACGATGGTCATGGGTGAGGTATTTGTTAAAAGGTCCCAGCTATCGGGTTGTCTTTTGTTGACAGTATTTACAAATTTTTATCTAATATACAAATGTACTCTATTATCATACAGATCTTTTATTACAGCTTATTTTCTATAAATATTAATAGAAACACGGTGACGAATGGGTACTGGATAGCTTTTGTGTTCGATTGGTGACAATTGGTGTCGTTTCCATAATCCAGCTCGAACGTCCGAAAAACTACCTCTTGAGCGCATGATACGTTAAAGTGCATACGTTGTCCTAACAACGACGCTTTATAATATAATAACGAAAGGTAATAATAACGAAAAAAGCTTAGATCTCAATTGCGAAACTCTATGTACGTGTGGGCCAATGTAGCGCCGGATCTAATGCAACGACACATAAATCTTACATTGGTCTGTGACAGTTTCCGCCGATAGTATCAAAGGATTTTAAACTGTAGTAACTTTGCTCATGCTCATACACATGCGCGGTTGATGGATTTAAAAAATGGCCTATCCTGGTTTAGATACTTTGACAGGACGTGTGTGTGTGTGTGTTATTCGATGATTAAAATAGTTCACTCTTCATAGTACTTTTCCCGGTTCGAGTGAGTGAGTGACTGAGCAACAATTGGTGACTATCAGCGGGCAGTGATCTGTTACGAGAGCGGGAAGATTCGCTGCTGGTAGCGCCATCTGATTTCATGACGGTGAGCAGCTACTTCACCGGCATCGGCTGAACCGGCTACAGCCATTTCTACAATAATGTGGTGGTTCATATACTACTGAGAGAGCAGCGGGTGCCGAAGCACGAGCTTCAGAGGGAAGTAATTCGCCGAAACGGGAGAGTAACAACACTCGACATGGACATAGTCTTCTTTCGCCAATGCGACCGGTTGTCCCGTGCCGTTGCTCCTGTATCTGTTTCGATCTCTCTGCTTTGCTGTCATTTTCTATGTCGATCATGGCTGGTCAGTGGCTGCATCCATCCGATGCAGTTAGTAAAGATCGCGGTTGATTCGCTCGTGCCAATCGTCGATGGTCGCGCATGTTGTGGCAAGAAGACTGGTCTCCCTTTTTTTTGTTGAGTGCGCGCACTCTTGCTGCACGACAACGGACGATGATGACAATCGCTAAGCGCCGCACTAGCCGTATATAGCAGTAGTAATAGTAGGAAGCTCCCATGCTGGCCGCCGCCGTGTAGTGAGAAGAGGGCGGACGCGGGTGAATGTATTTGTGTACTTTGACGACCCTCAGCGAACAATCATTCGCTGCCGCAGCGGGAGCATCATCGGCTTCATCGGCACCATCCGGCATACGATCATCAACAGCACCATCGCCGTCATCATGAATAGGCAGGCTGCACTCTACTCTGTAGAGGACGACGGTACCCTGCATTGACAGTTCGCGCAAATTCGGCCTCTTAGCTTCCCCACGGTACTGTTGCTACCCTTAGCCGATACCCGCAAGAATGACTGACCGTTCGTCCGTCTGTCCGACCATTTTGGCTGCCGGCCGTCTCGTAGAGTCCCGAGCGGTTGGACGCGTGTCTCTTTCTTTCTCTCATTTTTTCGCTTCGTTTCGTGTCTGTCTCTCGAACTGATTGTCCGTGTAAATACGACGAGTAGATCTCTAACGGATGCGCGGACCTCTCTCCATTCCATTGAGTGAGCTGACGCAGGCTCTGTAATTGGCTATAAATACGCTCCAAATAGAGGACATGGTCATTCGAGCGCAGCGTACGCGATGGCATGGTGTTCAACTTTGAAGTTTGGTGCGTGGACTTTTGCTGTTTTCAGACAAACTGGGTAGCAACCACGAGTAAGCAACTAATTATACTAACAGGTCATCTCTACCAAAAACCCTACGGCAGAAGGTTCTACAAGCATTTCCTTTTGCGACACCCTTTACTGACGATTGATAATGACGGTGGCCGTTGCAATAACGTTCGAAGTAACAATTCAGTCTGAGCTGGAGTAGAAAAATGTTCTCTTTACTAAATGTTACTCCGAAAAACGTATTTAACTAATTACTTGCTTTGCGGTAAACCAACGTATTCTGGTCTCGCTAGCCTGAAGTACAGGAGCGTTTCAAAAACAACGTTGCCAAGCAAATATTCACCTTGTCTGACGGACCAACTTTACGGTAAGTAGCTAGCGTTCAGTTTAGCACTTGAAGCGAACAAGCCTATATGGGAACGTGGTGCGTAATAATGGCTGAAACCATTAATCAGTATCAAATCTAGTTATCTTCTTTCTATTGGCAGTACCGCTCTAATATGAAGACTATTATCTGCTGTAGAAGACAGAAAAGTCCGACAGTTTTTACTAGAAAATTAAATCTAACCTCGGTATTTTTACTTTAGGCAACGGGATTTCCTTAAACTTTCATGTGGTTAATCCAAGCTAAGTACTGGCGCCGTAGGAGTCTGAACATGTTGTCAAGTGACCACTCCTGCGCGCTGTTGTGCTTACCCTGGGTACCACGACTCGACTTTGCTTCAACGACGGAGGCACGCGCACCGTTAATCAACAGTGAGCTAACGGACCATTTGGAGTTATTCGTGCATGATAAATTAATAGACAGAGTGCCTGCTTTTTAAGAACGTGCCGAAATAACGTGATATTAAGCCTGTGCTTCGCATGTCCTTGTGGCAAGCAAACTGTAGTGAGCGCATGGTTCGTACTCACATATACATAAAACTATCTATAGTAAGTGTGATATTAAGTAGTACCTCATTGTTTCTTTTATCCAAACTTTAAGTCACTACCTTGTGTATGTATGTTGACGTAAATGCATGGAAAGAAACTTTAGTTGAATTTCTTTATAAGAAATCACCACACTCATCCTGTCCGGAACAAGCAGCCTGTAAATTTTTTTCGTCCAGCTGCTGTTATGCCGTAGCTTGACGTAACGATTTCATACCTTTTCGAGAGCGTTTCTTTTGGCGTGCGCGTTTACGTGCGTTCGCGCTGCTCATTTAGTTCATTCGAACCTTTTCCCTTATGCATAATCCTTTACAACAGTTACTTGATTAATCTACCACGTTCAGGACTGTATATCACTTTTTCTCGCGCTATTCATCTTTGCTGAGTTCTTTCCGTCTGGCGAACATACCTCAGTATCTATACTTCACGTTTATGTCTGAACGTGTGTGCCTGTGTGTGTGTGTACGCACCCCTCTGGATACGTTTACAGCTATTCGCGATGTACGTGTACATGTGCATGGAAGTATGTGGACATCCAGCCTTACTCTAATGTCTTCCCAAAAAGGTATCCCTTCGCTTTTGTGAAGACTGAGTGAAAGTCTTTTCTGCTCCTATTTTTATTCCTCTCTTGGCCGTGACAATCAGTGACCAGTAGATTGTTGAATCCATTGGGCTCTGTGTTTGGTCTTCTTCCTAATATCTTTTGACATAGAATGCCCCTTTTGACTCTTTTATGTACAGGACACACTAGCATGCACAGTTTTCTACCACACAGCGTAGATCACATTGTTTGGAATTTTCTATCCTCAAAAGTCAGATCGCTAGCTACTTTCCACGGGTTCGTCTGTCCACTGCGCGCCCTTGGAGTTGGCTTGCGAATTGGGTTGGGACCCAGGAAACTTAGATGCTGCTCGGGACGTCGTTGTTTCGCCTGTGTAAAGAACCAAGTCTTCGCTGTGGCTCCCAACGGGGAGTCCCCAACTTGATCCGACCTAGGCCATAACATGAGAAAGAAACCGACAGTCCGACGTGTGCCATGCCATTCTTTTGCATCCGCAACGAGTTAGAGAAGTAGAGAATGACCTTTTTCCTCCACCACCCGTCGATGTCACCGTTCTCGCTTTCACATATGGGCAACTAGAACGATCGTCTCCACCTCCCAATACAACATTACCGCCACCCCATGCATACGTACATATAATCTATGGCTCATATACCCCCCTCTCCCCAAACCACCGGCACGGCCAACCCCCCAACCATCCGTTCGTCTCTCTGTCTGTCATCTGCGCAAGGCGCCCTCATCTTCCTCCATAGAGTAATCCACACTTCTTTGGGGTCCCGTTTCTCATGCCTCCCAATTGTCTTGTCCTCTTTGAGCGCCAAGCGTGTTAGGCTACGTGGCCTATCCACTAACGGGCAAGCTGGGAACCAGGAGCTGGTGAGAAGTCGGAAAATAGTATTCCGAGGGAAGGAACTAGTGAACGACTTTATCTGCGGTGGTGTTCACCGTTCGTTCCCTCTGTCCCCGTCTCCCCCTGGGCCCCGGATACTTTTTCTTCTCCCCTATTGCCCTCAGTTCGGTGCCGTGCAGCAACCTTTCGCTTGCAGATGAGAAAATGAGAGAACGAGAAGCCTGAGGCTGACCTGAGTAGAACCCCCAGGACACTATGTTTGCGTGTGCACGCGTACTGAGACAAACGCGGCTTATAAAGGAAAGAGAGAGATAAGTTGAAGGTCGAAGGAGAAAGAACCAGAGATCTGAGCACACATACCAGTTCCGTACAAAGAAGTGAGGTACTTACGAGTTTTCATATGCAGACTATGCGGTCCTTTGGCGTCGGTGAGCAGTTCTCCTTCGATTGTATATCCTTCACCTCTGAAATTGTGCCAGACGAAGGCAGGTCGTTTAGTGTAAGTTAGAAGTATCACCTTTCCTGTTCGTACTTCATTTGATTTTAATACAAGCCTCTGCACAATTTTATGACTATCCCATTGTAATGAAGAAAAAGGACCAATAGATTTTCAATGAATCGCTTTCCTCAATGTTGCAAGCACAATTGCATTATAAACACCAAAAAAATCTCACTATGAAAGCTAATTTATGTTCGCCCAAGTTATGCATTTGTTTATTGGATAATGTCGTTTTTAAAATAAAAAAAATTCCATAAATATTTTTCCTCGTAATTATTATATTTATTAAATATTTACTAAAAATAACTAAAGAAAGAAATTACGCAACAAGAAATTAAACAGATTAAAGGCCTGCTTCGGAATCTTTAGTAAATAGGAGGAAAAATCTAAAACAGAAGGAAAAGCAATTTGTAATAAGTACCTGTAATAAGTAAGCTATTTTAACTATCAGTGAACACTAACTTAAGTAGAATGAGTAGTTACTTCTATTGAAAACACTATTTACGTTAAATGTTCATAAGTACCAACTTGCTGTTTTTCTCCGGTTTAGCCAAACCAGTACACCGAACATCACTTAGAGCGCGGACAGTTGGTTAACGATGACAATTTTATTGTCAACTTAGTCATTTTTTTTCCAAAGAAACACATACTGTATCTATTTATTTTTAAAGATGTTAAATTGCCAATATTATTAACTAGTACAGCCTACATCTTAATATTATGAGCAGACTTGTTCTTTACCGCAACGGCTCCCTCTTAGATTTATGCATCAACCTGCTTTTCCAACGTTCCCAACCCTGCCTCTGCTGACGAGCTTCGATATATATCAATTATGTCAGCTTTAATTGTCAAGATCCTTTCATATAATTTCTTTGGGCTATAAAGGTGTTCTCTATAAAAGTTAGCACTACCTGTGAACTATTTTGCCCAAAGAGAGTAATTTTAATCTCTAAAGCATTTCTGTGTGGAAGAAGGGTTTCTTGTCATCAAAAACAAGTTTAAGCTCATAAGAACGGCATCGGGACCTGGGTGATGAGATCGAAATACGCGCTTGGTTTATCCACAACGAGGAAGTATCTCATCGTCGTTGGAGCCATTTGTTGCGTAATGTTACAGTCAGTATCTCAGATCGCTTTCTTACAATAGTGGGCTTTGGAACAACGATCAAGCCACTCACTAGAGGATAAATGCAATCTATTTTTCAAATAATATTAATAGAATAGATTTCTTTCTTCGATTTTACCTACATTCAGTATACTGATATTATATCTACGTCCCAGTGGTTCTCTTCGCAGTAAGCATGATTTCGCCTTGCGTTGAATTTATCTAAAGCCATGATGAACTGGAGCCTAGTTGTAACTTGTATGTGTAGGAACTTATGGTAAGCCATCTGTTTGCCAAGCTACGGAAGAAACAACAACACGCAATGAGGTAACAAGATGAAAGAAGTCCCTAGTGTGTCCGATGTCTGCGAGGTATTGCTAGATCATCAGGTGACACATCAACGTACGCACGTATCAATGTACTCAATCCTTATAGAAGCTTCGTGTAAAAGATGTATGTTACAATAACGTTTAAAACTTTTGCATATGTTTTCTAGTTAATGTAGACCTAACTTCATCTATTATAACTCACAATTTGTGTGAATATTCGTTCAAGTTGTCGTCGAGGGCCTCGTAAATTTTTTTCGTATGTATTTTAAGACTTCGTGAAGTTGCACGAAAGGTATACATCATGACCGTAATCGTAGAAGCAACGTATTCTTTCTTATTTCGAAGAGCAAGTAGCAGTTATTTCACACTGAAGGTCAAGAATCTATAGGAGCTGACGCACATTTTAAGTCGTGCACGATCCATTATGTAATGTAAGAACAAAATGTTCTAATATTCATCATATCATGCACAAAAAACAACACGTAAGAACAATATTCGGGTTCTACAAAAAGAGGATTTTACCCGAATGTAGCATTGAATAGAATCGGGCAGAGCTTTCTCGCCCTCTACAATGTTATCATCAGCTTTTGAAAGCTCGTTTTCACTATATCTTGAAGGATCGCAAACGGCAAAGTTAAAGATTACTAGTAGTACTATGTTGAAGTAAATTCGACCTGTAATCGACTATACATGACATACTATTCAAGAGTGGCTACCATAATTTTCCAATATTTAGGTAAGATGAATTCAATAACTGATCTTGAACACTTCGAGTTGTACATTCAGGGTTATTGCTAAGTATATCTTCAGATAACTAGTTACACAAGCTTCACCATTTCACGTGTTTTTACATCTAGTAGGCAAAGAAGTTATCGTCACCTAGACTGACAATGGTTTCTTTTTATTATAGAGGGCCAAGTTACCAGTTTATTGGAGTCGTTCCAGTTTCCACTTAAAACGCCGTACCTAGCCATTAAATCGACCAAACGAATAGAACGAAATGAGTGAAGCTTTGTTGAGAGTTTGCAAAATCCTAGTGAAGTTTTCTACGATTACATTTAAGTTGATTCTAATGGCATTCTAATAAAGATGAACTTTTTGTCCCAGAAATAAAAAAAACTAGCTATAAAAATATATTTTTCGAGCTTGCAATGTACAACATACAGCAATGTCTATAGTGAAAATTAGCCAGTTTGCCAAAGAGTACGAAAACGAAACGGAAAAATCGGGGTATACTTTTTGTGTTTCTCATAAAACATAAAGAACATAAGAACATTAAATACTATCATTTTTTAGTGGGCAGTATGTCGGGCTCTTACCCCACGAAGATGCCCGGTCTGCGTGTCAATATTAGACAACCTAAAGATGGTTTATAGAACAGCGGCTCGATAGTTAACTGTTTTAGCCGATAAACCGAAAAAAAGCACAGAAGATATAACGATGCCTGCGTTTAAATATATAGAAATGTATTTCTTTTTATAACATACGCCTGCAATGTTTGCAAACGGAATGCAGATCTATCGCGTTGCGATGCTTAATATCTACTTCGAGTTCAACTATTTAGAAGAGTAAATTTTTGTTTGTTTATTCCTTGCTGCATCCTATCTTGCTATCGCCAAAATCACTTACGGCTACGAAGTAAGTTGTGAACAGATTTTAGTGGACGGAAAGTAAGGAACAACTTAGGATCGAATCGCATATTGTTTTTGTGCCGCAGTCGTAACTAACAGGTACGTCCTAGATCGATCAGTGTCTTGGAATATTTCAACAAACGTTCATGGAAGAAACCTAGCAAGAAGTTACCAGCATATAAAAAAAACACATTTTAGACTTATTTATCTATATCACTGAATCGTTAGCCGTTCTAAAATTCACAAAACGAGACCAGAAAATAGGCTTACTATATTTAGCATTCACGATGTTTTTTTGTTAATTAATGTCAACCCTTTTATTGAATTCTCTAGCCCAAATATATTGCTATGCCTTAAACTCTACTCGCGTATGTGTTCTAAGTTACATGCATACGTTAGTTAGTTACTACTGCTACTGAAACAATACCGTGCTAAGATTCTTTTCTAATCTTCCAACTTTGTGTCTACAAACATTTTTATTGCATCAATATATCGATATATATTGTTCATATGCAGCTTACAAAATCGAAACTTTCAGCCAAAAATAACCAAATGCGTATAGATCGTTCAAAGGACCTGAGTGGTCTTTTGAATGAACAGCTCGCTTCATCTATGAGTCAATGCTAATTGAAAGATTCACGCTGCTGCTATATATATGGTAATAGTGCTTACATCGAACTTCCCTAAGTTACAAAACTGAGCTTGTTCTTAAACCGCAAGGGGGCTTGAGTGTGAAGCGTACAAGCAAGGACTTGTAAAGCTAATAAGGAAAAAAACTATGCGCTATAGGTCTTAAAACAAGATCGGGGGTCACAAAAATATGCGAAACCCCACAGAATCCGTGACGCATAATCAGATCAGTATCATGAAAGTTGGAACTGACCTATTCGGTTCATGAAATGTTGATGCATCTCGGGTTTTATCAAAAACAAGCGTATTAAATAATTTTGCTGTAATTCGTGTCCTGTCATCTCGGGGACCTACATTGATAGAGCCTTAGATCCTAAAATACGTTAAATAGGTGCAAGAAAAAGTGAACAAAATTTAACACCTCTTCATGCGGTAGCCTGTGTATCGTCAAAAGGCACTGGCTGCAACAAGATTTACTTTAAACTAGTTATAAATCAGTAGTTCATATGGGTCTTTTTTTACGAGTGTATTTTAACTGATAGATTAAGAATGAGCGGTCGTATTTATATGTTACGTTTGTAATTGAGAAAGTCAAGTAATTATACTTATTATTTACCAAAAAGGTAAACTATTATAAAAACATCTAGTCTTGTATTTGTCTTGTAGCTAAAATGACTGCTGGAAGCATTGAAGGCGTCCATTCAAACGAGTGGGGTACTTGTTTTCTAACAAATTGTGATTTTCTTGGTCCTACTGAGCAAGTTAAGCTATGATATATCAATAATTAACTTATTACATGTCCTTGTTTCACTATTATTTCTATAATATATCAGCATAACAACGAATAAAGTAGGGCTAATTCACCTGATTTGGTCAGCGATTTCCTGGCCGCGTCTGGAAGAGGTTTGATGCAATGATGTGAGGTGGCATCGTGCAAAAGAAAATACGTCAATATGTAATATTTGTAGTTTATATATAGTATAGAATATATAGTATAAATAATAATGATAGCAGATTAGCGTTTGAGGCTGTGAATTGTATAATTGTTGGAGTGGAAAAAGACAGGCATCTGATTATCTATAAAAGCTTTATATTAAGTAAAATAATTTGGTAAGTGCTTCAATAATGTGCTGTATTAATAGAGTCTTATACTTGAATTTCGACTCTCGTCATTTTTAAAAATTGTTTTGTAACCTTGACGTAATAAATCTTGAGGACTTGATGGAGAGAGATCTTGATCGGCCTTGAGGACTCAAGAGTTAACTTTATTGCTGATCCATTATGCTTCCGAATTAAATAGAGCTTATTTATCTGACATATATATATATATAAACGACACTTGTCGTATATCCAAACTACAAACAATACCAGGACAGAGCCTTATACGTCTAAGCCGTAGGGACGTCGCCCCTTATTCTTTTTTCTTAGCATAGCCTAAAATGAAACCAAAAGTTTGTCGAATTAATAAAAATTAATTTATTATATAAACATTATGCAAAATATTGTAGGTTATATGTGCTCAAGCTCAAATCCAGCTCGTAAAATTTACATGAGCATTTCTATGATATGTTTTAACATACAACGTTTAAGAAGACCACATATTACTTGCTCTGGATGCTGTCACTAAAACTATACAAATTAGATACGTTTGCCAGTTTAGGACAAAGACGATTTAAAAGCGGTGAAGTTTACCGTTGAAGCGTATCTTCATGATTCACACGACTGAAGATTGCTTTCATATCCTCATATGTAAAATATTTGCTTTTGTAGCCACAGAAAGTCGCTATTTATAGGCAGAACTTTACTGTTGCCTAAGCGTCGCCCCTTGGCGTTGGTTAGTGTACATTCAGGTCTTTATTTGCTGTTTTATTTGTCTTTTGTCAGAGACTTCCCTTTTCCTTTCTTTTTCCCCAGGGTTTTTCAGTCGCCTCTGTTGAGTGGACAGGAGGCCTGCACAAGTCTAATGGTAAATATGGGCACATCGGCTTCGTCTGATTCGCTCATCTAAGTGTACATCGAAAATAGGTCAATAATTAGCCGTTCGCTTGTTCTTAGCCGGCCAATGTTTGCACAGAGCAGAGTCCGCCTACTCACCCTTCTTCGCAGCCTTCTTTCAGGCAGGCGTCGTCGGCCTGTATCTTTCGGTCGCCACTATTGTTGACACTGTGTCTGTCAAAGCAAACGCGGCCGATATCTACCTTTGTGTTACAGCTAGAGGACCATGGAACCACTGTTGAGTTTATGATTAGTTTGTATTATAACTACGAGCTAGTCGTGTCGTTGCTGTCGTCTCGGACGAATAATAAGGCTTTATAGTGATAGTGGGTCTGAGTAACAGAATCGTCGACACTTGGAGAAAACAAAAAATATAGAGAAGCTGTCCTTGAATGAGAGAAAGGTAAAACGAACGCTCGAACAAGTGACAACGGTAAGAATGATCACGAGCTGGGTTGAATCCTGACTGGAAGTTCTCTGACTGCCACTGTCGCAGTTACTACCGCCTACTTTACTGTAATTTCACTGCTGCCGCTGCTCCCATTTTGCCACTACCACTACACGGGTGAGGTAAAGTGTGTCGTCTCTTTACTATGCTAGCTAGTGTCATTGTTCTTAATCATCCACAGACAGCCATCATGAATGATGTCGCTGTCGTCGTCGTCGTCGTCGTCGTCGTCGCTGCCGATGACGACAACAAGAAGGAGGAACGACGCTTGAAGGACGTACAGGGAGCATTTCTCTTTGTGTTCCTCGTTTCTGGCAGTTTCTCTTCAGCGTTCGGCCTTTTTACGCATTTCTCCACCGTCATTCAACTCAGTCTGATTAATTATGCTGCTATTGCCGACTTAATTCGTTAGACACTCGTTCCATCCTGGAACAGTTCTGCGGAATGACACCGATGCTTCACCGTCTGTAGTACCGTCGGCAACGTGGCAGGAGGAGCGGCTTTTAGCATTTGTTCGCTCATCCAACTACGTCCGCGGTAATTGCCCTCAACGCCCAACGCTGCCGATCGACGGCGGCTACCGTCACCCGTTGCTCGCGGCCGTCGTGTACCTGGCTAACTGGTTGATTGGTTGCTTCCTTACCACCGCCCATTTCTAATTATCTACTGGCTGCCCTAGCTAGCTAGCTTTTGCGCTTACCTGCCATACTTTCACGACAGCATCAGTAACGACAAAAACAAAAAGTCTCGCGCACACGATAGAGAAACGCAGACCGAAAGCGATAGAAACCCTCAGACTTTTAAAGACCCGTGCGGTGTCCGTTGTCCCTTTTCCGCCGCCAATCTCCAACTGCGCGAATGTGATCATAGCGAACACAGCAAGTGCCGTTCGATGTTGTCCAACGACGCGTTAATAAACACATTACTTGTCAATTGCAACAGTGGCAGCGCCAGTAGCAGAAAAACAAAAATGGAGGCGGCGGCGGCGGCGGCGGCCGCGGCCGCCTATACATGCGTAAAATATTCATGCGTACGGGATGTTAACCACGCTACCAGTTCTATAAAAGCAGCAACAGCAGCCGTCTTACATTAGTCATGCATTAGACGATACATGACTAGCTAGCCAGTTAGCTATATATGATATAGTGGCTTTTACCGAAAAAAAACTAGATAAATAACAAAAAAAAAATGCTGTAAGATTGATTTTTGCGTGCGATAACCTTGTAAATACTGATAACATTCTGTTTTCATTTAGTTGTGCATGAAGACAAAGCGGCTAGGTAACCATAAAAAAGAGAGTCTGTATAACATGGAGGGTTCTTTCAAAATGAATTTTGCTCGGTAGGACTCGATACCTGGAAGTACGTGCTTTATGGTATCGTTGCTTTGATATTCTACAAGTGTTGCTAGTCGTGACGTTTTTTAAGCGTGATGTATTCGGCTGAAAAGTGCCGCATGTTTAACAAAAAAACACGCAGAAAGTGCATTATTATAATTTAATATTAAATAAGACAGTTGAATAAAGCTGATATCGATTTCGAAGTTCGTCTCCAAATAGGTTTGCGGGTACGTTCTTCTAGCCCTGCCTAACGTGGTCGATAAAGCAGTAAGTCAGTACTATATATATATATATATATCCTTGCTATCTGCACGGGGCGACACCTAGCAGGAACATACACAGGACAAACAGCAGGAACATACACACATAATTTTCATTCATACGATACACAATTTTTCACAATTTCGACCGCTACTACTATTTCTGTAGAAGAAATTAGATTACCGTAATCCGGATGTTATCAGGCACCCATACTTCATGCAAGCGTGTGCAATGATTTCCTGCTGAGGAAAAGTTCAACATGGATAAAAGCCCAGATCCGCTCTAACCAACACCCCCAGAAAACTGTAATCTTCATCATCAACGTCAATTTATATATGTACATGTGAAATGGGCATACGTACACACTGTTGCGCTCATTAACACTCAGTTTCTCAATCGCATGGCTCTGTACATACAGAGATGAAAGAGCAGGCGAGGGAAGAGGAAAAGAGAGTAAACCATACTTACGAACCTAGGAAATGTTTGGAAGTTCGAGTTGGGTGCTGTCAAACTGTATTTTAGTCCATTCGTCGCGTATCGTTTCTCGTCTACAAGGAATCGACGACCGAGAGAACTCTTATCTTACGCTCGTTCTTTTTTTTTTTGCTCTCTGGCTTTCTCTTTTCAATAGAAAAAGAGTACTACCCGACTAGCAGCAGAACCGCCGTCGTCTTGAACAACCATCCCACTGCCACGCTGTGCTAGTCGTTGATGCCCTCGTCATCATCGTATCGAAGCGGCGTGTTCACAGCTTGTCTCCATGGGCTCCGCCCTTTATTTTTTCGAGCCCTCTTTTCCTTCTTTTTCGTTTGGCCGCGTTCTCTGTCTCTTAGTTTCTCTTCATTTTCGTGCTATCTTTCACTGTGTCTCTGTTGGATAGTCGTTCTGTCCGTCACGTACAGGCAGACGGACGGACGGACGGACATATGGAATCTGGTTTTATTCCGACTACAGTTCTAAAACTTTGCCATTGTCGTACGCCTTTCGAATTATCCGGATTGTGTCTACTAGCTAGAATTAGTTCAAAAATAGCATCAGTGAACAACGGCAGTAGAGTAAGTACCCGTCTCTTGCCAACTTTTGCCAACGACTAAAATAGTGTCGTTACCGTTAAAATACCGATGCTTCATAAGGCAGCGGAGATAGTAGCCTTGGATTTGGTATCTCGAAGCCTTTTCTAGTGTCGCGTCGTCCGAAAGACTCATGAACCTAGTCGATCCGTAGGTAGGTAGAACGTAGAAGGGCCTCAGTTAACATGAGGTGAAAAACGGCGTGCTAAAATCTACCGGTAAATAAAAATAGCGGTAAATATAGACTAGCACTCAGCAGCGGCGGTGGTGGCGGCCATTCTTCGAGCACCTCCATAAACGGCGTAAGAGCACAAAAGCGGTTTTGTTGATTCGTACCATTTTCGTCTGGGGTATTATTGTTATCAACAACATCAATGCAATAGCAGCGGAAAAAAAGGACACGGAGTGGTATATTTCTGTTAGTCCTTTCCTGTTGTATTTACTGTACGTAGAAAATATTAATCCATTACAAATAAAGTCGTGCTTTTTACAACGACTGTAATGTAAGGAAATGTCATTTATCTAAAAGATATGTAGATGCAAACAACACGTATTGCAAGAACTGGAAACTATACACTTCACGACGCACTCGCGTGACGTCTACAAATTACAGATGCTTTTTAGAACGTAAGTGACAAAAAAATAGTGTATAATCTAAAGGAGATAGCTAAAGGTCATCACTGCAAGCAGCGTTGTTCATTAGAACCCCTTGTTAGTTGAGCTTGTGCGTCATTTTTGGTGAAAAGCTGGGAAAGGGCCCAAAAGGGAATTTTAGGCCCCAACTTTCGTGCTTGTTCTTAAATCGTACCCAGAAATTTGTTATTTGTTGGTAAACGTAGCCTTCATCAGTCAGCTTGGCGCACACTTACGACTAATCACTGTAAATAATCATCATTTATTTGAATACCTGCTTAGGCTGCTGTCATTAATACCTATTATCTTGGGTCTGACAGGTATCAGGCCTAAAAAAAACACAGAAGCTTACGGAATGGACGCCTGCCAAAAATACTTCTATACAACTGTCTAGCATTATCTTCTACCTATCGTTAAGCTGTATACGCAACAATAGTCCCCAACGATTGATCAAAAAATGGCTGAATAGTTGAACGGAGGTAATTGGTGTTAGCTAGTTTCGACGTACTTGAAGAGCTAAAATATCTGCCTCGCCAAACTATACGATTTAAACGATCATTCGGAGTATTTGATAGGACTTCTAGTTGGGTCAAGTTAGGTCAAGGGTGCATTAAGTAAATTCCCATTCGCTCGAAGGAAAATTATTTAGAGTATTCGTTCGTTTATCATTCACTGCCGGGATGGCATTTTCATGAAGATCTTTCAATGTAATTTATGCTCAAGTCATTACTAGTAACTGTTGCATGCTTGCTCGAGTAGGCGATACTATCATTTAGTAAGTAACTGTGGCACTTACTTTGTCCATGTTTCGAGCGTCGGTGACATACTGTTGACATTGTTAAAAAGCTGTCCGGTACTGAAAGGCGCATATCGGTAACACGGAAAGGCAAAGTTAGCAAAGTTAGTCAACATAGTCAAGTTATAAAAGCGGAAAGACGATATGCAAAGTGTTCCGATGTTACTGCAGATTTTCTCGCGTCAAACGGGGCTGCTTGAACGGCAAACTATAGCCACTGATTGATAGCTACTATGATCAATTACGTACGAAAGATACATATTCAAACCTGTTAGCGAGCCTTTTCCATATTTCAGGCAAATCGCTTGGCGAAATTTCACTCATTCAGAATATAAACCGGGGCAAAACTTAATTAGATCACACATACGCGTCGCTAAGATCGTTGCCGAACTTTTGCACGCTCTGGACGACTCCCTTAGCAACGTTAGCCAAACTGGCCACCGATGGTCGCGAGATCGTTTGTGCCGCGGGTTTGTCGGCATCGGCGTCGTAACGATGATGATGATGATGGCGATGACGATGATCGAATCCATCTTTCTTGCGTTTGTTTTCTTGCTGATTTTTACGCTTTTTATGAGCCTTCCTCTTTTTGGCTTTATCTTCCTGAATCTTATCGTATCGCCTAGCAATCATCTCTTCCCACTCTTCGTCTGTCATGAATATTTTCCTTTTTTGTGTTCCAGAAGCCTTGCCGTCATCGATCACTGACCTGACACTCTCGAATAGACCTTTATTTTCTTCCTTTTGGCCATCTTCCTCCCTGAACTTCACTTCGCCATCCTTGCGCCTGCGTCGAATTTCACTCCCACGGCCTTTTTCTACGCTGTTATCCTTGAACAGTTTTCGATCTTTAGCACGACGCCTAGATGAACTGGTTTTTCTATAAAACGCGCAGCATAATTAGATTATTTGCAGATCGCAATGAAGCAGAATACAAGAGAATCAATGTATGAATGCAAAGGGATCACAGCAGTGTCAGGCAGCAAGGCTTTGTAAGCACTTTTTCATTACTGAGTTTGAGATTCTTTCTTTCTTTCTATTTGTTGAAGACTGTATACAGCCATAATTAGCGACGTTGATTTATTTATGTAAATTACATTAGCTTCCTAGTAATGGTTTAAGAACACGAATAAATACGTCTAACCCTTTTTTTTTTTCCCATGGGGTATTTTCCGATTTTTTGTTCTCTAATTCGTGAAGAAGCTCCTAGACGTTTAGTTTACGCACCGTGAAAATGAAGCCGTAAATAAACCAAGACGAAAACATTTGAAACATGAAAGTGTTTTCCGGATTTGGGGAATGGAAGAAGCCAGCGCAGACTGCCGATGCGATATGGCGTTTATATATGTGTTCGCTAGATATAACCGGAAATAGCAGGCCGAAAAAGGTGCACTCCTCTCAGCAATGGAGATTTTCGCCGCCATGACTGGCCATGACAAAACGGTTTGTAAACAGTACTTTATGTGACAGATGGATGCGGTCGGGTTCGCCTGTATGTCAAAAAGTACATCAAACCCACTGGGCTCGAATGTCGACTAGCGCCACTTAGAGCAGCAATTAGTAGTATGGATTGTCAAATATCGGTGTTCAAGTGTGCGTGATTGTGATCGAAGATACGAGCTGGATTTGTTGCGAAGAATAGTCAAAAAAGTTTATGAGTAGTGTCTCTAGAAGCAGCTTTGTAATGCTGGCTTTCATCTCCAAGATAACTTGTAGTCTGATCTAGTGTAAATCTCTTCTGTGAATTGAAATAATCGCTGCGCGGCCATCACAGCAAAAATAATTGAAAATAATTTCCACGTAAAAGGCGACAATATCAATAGACAAGTTAAGGATAGCTACCCGTTAGAACAGGGTCTCGGCCGAGATCCTTAGCCCTTGTATTGTATATACCTGAGTAACGACGTCATAATTGCCATATTCTGAACGATTGATCTTATATATCTGTAACTAACAATGGACAATACTGTACACAGAACTTTGCGTTGTCAAGGGTACGTGAAGAATCGTCACTGACTTGTACGGCGAGGCAAAACTTAGACGAAAAAATCTATTCGTTCTTAGGCCGACATACCTGAGAGTTTCGTTCAATGCGGCGTAATTGACGAAGCTTCGTTTCGTCCGACGACGCGTGAGTCCGAAACCGAGTATAGGCTCTTCCGGGGCTGATCTCAGCGAGAAAAGGTCCTCATCACTTAATTTGATGTAAGCAGAAAAATGACGTGCGGAAGCAAGTCAGAAAGAGAAAGCTGTTGAGTACGTAAAGTCCGTGCAATTGATTTCGAGTAGTTAGGCTTTGTTGTTAATTTGAAGAATTTTTATCGACTAGAAATAATTAAGTTTAAAATTTAGCTAAAATATCTAAATCCACAAAACCCAGATTCTAGACGCATATACAAAATGCTATGTTTTCCCAATAACACCACATCATTTGCTCCAGTATAGGCACATACGTTAACCCATTCCCTCGTAAGTTCGTATCTCAGGCAATATACGTAAATCGAATCATTCGTTTAAATGCTTAGTATTCATGTTGTTTTTGCCCATTTGGTTCACCAGTCGCTTTCTGCTTGCCTGAATGTGGCCCCAGCAGTACTTCTCGTTTCCCCTTCGCAGATTACTCAGTGGTTTATCCCTTTCGTCCCTCGTCTTTGGTCAACATTATCACTACCAGCAGCAGAAGCTACAATGTCACTAGCGCGGCCATCATTTCTTGTCAGTTTTCCCCGACTCTCGCGCAATATTGCTTGTCTTCTACTAAACAGTCTTAGCTCTTTTATGCGCAGCAGCCGTGTACACTTATTCCATGTCTTCTGTAGCTGCGGCGGGGTTCTTTCCGCTGACACCGTTTCTAAACAGGGTACAACTAGTAATTCTACCCCTCCTCCGAAATCTTATCCCGGAAGTCGACAGAGCTTCAAAAGGAGTCCAGCCGACGTTTCTGCTGATCTCCCGAACGAAGCTGGTGCTCTGGCGATACTAGCTGTAACATAAAGCAAAGAAGGAACACGAACGACTAAAGCACGATTGCTGCTGCAGAGCGGCTGAACGAACGCCTGTTCTGGCAATGAGACCCGAGCCGAGTCGAGCGAACTGTTTGGCAATACACGTGTAACAAATAAACGAGGCAAATGCCAATTCCTGCCTCGTTCTCCACAGGCAAGCGGGTAGCAAACCGTAACTCGTGTTGTACCCTCAACGTTGGGGAGAGTGAGTAGAAAAACCATGAGGGATGGACTGCGGGGCAGGAAAAGACAGGCTCAGTCTGTAGAAGAAGTCTGCCAAGTCTTTTGCAGTCGCCGGACGACAACAGCAAGGACGGAGCAGTGAGGGCAAAGCGGCCATGGGAGTAAAGTAACGGAGGAAGAGTGACGTCTACTGAGTTCCTGGACACAAACGATCGCTACCATCCCCCTTCTTCGGTTCTATGAGGCAGCCATGTAAATATATACATTACTAGCTAGGACCATTACGTCCCTGGGTGACTTGACGCCCCCTACGGTCGCTTCTGCCCCTGCGTCCAGTTCGCCTGCTGCCGCCGCCGCCGCCGCCATGATAAACAGAGAACAGAAACAAAAAGGAGGAGGAAAATAGAAAGAAGGCTATGTATGACGACCGTATGGTGCAAATTCCTTTTCGGAAAAAAAGAGGCCCTCACCGCCACTGTCCTTGCCACGATATTAGTCAGAGGCAGATCAGAAACAAGATTTATTGGCTAAGTCCGGAGTAGTTCTGGTCGTTTTGGACGCTACTTAGGGAGCCTGCACAAGGCAAATACTAACAGGATGCTTACACTCGCAGCCTCAGCGCGGACGCGTGTGTGCGCGCGTGTGCGTGTGAGTATAGAAGATACTTGCATTTAGTTTTTGTGGTGGCTTGACTGATCCGTAAATAAACAGTACAAATCCAGCAGCAGCAGTGAAAATCTTGTATTGCACGAAAGCACTGGATAGAAAGATTTACTGGTACCATCTGCTATAAGCCTGATAGCATAAAATTCTGGTTTGACGAAGAATCGCAAGAATACAAGACACGCACAAAGAAACCACCTTCTGCCTAATCAACTCCGAATTGTTCTTTCTGCATAAACTTTTTTTTACATGGAACCCGCCAACAATCGGCTTATACGCCATATATATATATACATATAGTGAACACTCGTATATTTATCGTGTAAGGAAGACTACTACTTTTAATATTAATGCGAGATGCAGCTGAATTCATCTTATCTTATTTTACTTATAACGGAAAATTAATAGTAGTAAAAAAACAAGACTCAATTGCGAATAGCAATTATAAAACACTTGCATTATCCTAATTAGGTTTAGCTGTTTTGTTTTATCCTATCGTTTGATGCAAAAGTTTTTTCAGGTTCAGTTCAACGAGTTACCACATTTGGCTAGAGCGTATCAATTAGTGCTATGTTTGCTTTAAACGGCGCAGCCTTTTTGTATTCTGGCCTTGTACTCATGTGTCAGGCTTTAGACTTGACCTGAAACACATTGATTCGATTACTGATGTTTAGTCTCCAGGGTCAGGCCACGGAACTCCTACAACAATGAAATTAGAATAACCAACAGGCTCATTTTTTTCTACCTCAATAAAACAAATATAGGACCGCTTAGAACAGTTAAACGTATTTTGTTTGATTCAATTTGTTAATGTATATGGCAACAACTGGTATATTCGTCTACAGACAAAAACACAAAGAATATCGGTATGCAGCACGACCCATCGTAACGGGAAGGCTTGAGCAAGCATCAAATCAGGCGTTGAGAAGTATATGCTTCATCAAGGATAAAATGACCATACAAAGGTTAGCTTGTTTAATAATATTGTTATGGGTCTAATAAAACTTCCTTTCCCATGTCTTTTGATACGCTGTTAATTGGCTGTAGCAGCCGTTGTGTTGTCATGGTTACAGCCCGTGGAAAATTTCCAAAATAGTTAATTGCAGGTGTAGCCCAGGGTAGACAGGAACGGCAGGGAATAACTTAACTAAGATATATGGAGTTGGAACCTAGACAGGCCGTGTATTCCCTAGAAAAAAGTGGTCGTTTGCCATACAATTTTTCGTTGGCGTTTCTTTTCAAAATCGAGACACTCGAAAAGAACTTCCGAGGAATTATTAATCTGTTAGCTTAATCAAATCGATTCTCTTATAATGTTATATTTGTATACGGAATACGAAGTACCCTAGCTGAATGAACCTAAAAACCAGCATTAAAAAAACGACAACTATAAATTTCTTTAAGTAATAAGCCTGGTGAAGACAGCTCCTACGAGCTTTTCTTTTGATAAATTTCCACAACCATTCCAGTTGTTCGACTTCTAAACAGCGACTCTGAACCTTCTGGTGACACTTGATCAAAAGATTCAAGTCATAAACATCTAGGCTGTTCAGCAGCCGGAACTGTTTGTTTTACGAGGGGCTCAGAAAAAATTACCAGAAAATCGGTTCTAGTCTAAATGGCTGTTATGAGCGGAAGTGCTGTCTTACAGAATTACGCGTAATTTTGTCCCGAGACTTCGTTGACTTACAAATAACGATTTTCTTTTTTCCTGAAAGGGATATGGCAGCATGACGTCGTCTCCACTAGATACAACACTTAGAACGTAAACCCTGGCAGGCAATTTTGCTCTAATAATAATCATTATACATCTGAGTCGTCGGTGAGCCAGCGGTTGTCTCTTAATTAACGTTTACATTAACGAGGAACATTTTCTAGTTGACAGAGAGCAGAACGTAGTCGGATGTTTCGCGCCGAAGAGTAGCAAATCGCAAATGACGGCGCGCAAACTGTCTCGCTTTAGTCTCATTAGCGAGCATCTGTATATTCTTCATGGCGTTTGGAGTGCAGCGCCTGAGGTCCTTGTAAACTTACGGCCCTTACAGTCCTGTTCGTAGGCCCAAAATAGCCTCTCAGTTTCGCACAGGAATTGCACGATAGTCTTCATAAGACAACCTCAGTTGTAACTCTTTCATATTTCCGCCACATGAACGGATAGCAACCTTTTTCAAAGTGATTCGCGTAGCGATTGGTAGCCGAGCACATAGTTAATGGTTTATAATAAAAAACCACATGATCTCGGGACACGTATGCTTAACTTAGAAACTTTACATTATGGCTGATTTCTGCTACGACTGTATTGACCGCTCTATTTGTCGATTAAGTCATGTCGACGTTACCATTTATTGCCTTTTTACCTAAACGACTCTTCTCTGGACCCCCCCCCCCTTTGCCGGCTAATTAAACTACTATACGACTTTCATAGAAATCTTTCCAAATTTAGTTGGCCTAGGACCCCGTGCATACATCACTGTCTTCCTGAGGGATGAAGATTTGGAGTAATGCGCAATGCTTAACGCTAATACCGAACGCAAAGCTCGAAATGTCTTATTTCGTATTGTAAAGATAGAAACCTTTAACGCTGGTACTCCCGCCCCCCGTCTAATAGCTAACAATGTCTCTAGCACAGTGGGGATCAATTTTCAATATACTACGGATGAAGAGAATGATGATGTTTATGCCGCTTCGCATAATTCTACCTAGAATGAAAAGGCTCAAAAAATACTAAGTGCCAGATAAAGATCAAACCTGAAGCTTCACAGTTGTGAGTTCAGATGCTACCCACTCGGTGCTGAGATAGCCAAAATACCATTATAACCTCTTTTATAAAAAAAATGGAAGTCGTGAAAGTACCTCGAAAGGTACAGCTCTTTCTTAAACTATTGTCAGGGGTTGATACTAGAAAAAAAATCTATAGAGAGAAAATATCTATATCTATTGAAAATGGCCCAATTTTTTTTGTCGCCTCTTCTTGCCCAGTCTATCTATAACTGATTAAAACAATATTTTCTATCAAATCTATATTTCACTCTTTTTTTTTCGATCTTGCCTAAAATATATAATAGCTAGCACTTTATTAACACATATCGATTGGAGTACGTTTTATGCAAAGTTAACAAAATGTAAAGACCGGAAACAACCATATGCCATGATATACATATATAATAGTTAAGAAACAAGCTAGTCTTAGGGATAGTCATAACTTCACATGAGCGACAACAACGAAGACGGCAAACTTGAAAAGTCTATGGAGAACGTATTTAATAACAAATTAACGGAATAAATTTGTTATTATAGAACGATTGCATGACCAATCTTCTTAATTGAATCGGTGGTCCCCAAAAGTATGCAATCGAATAGATTGTTTTTTCCCTTGAAGGAAACTTTAGAAAGTTAACAGTTCTTAACATCAAGCTTACTGCATCAAGCTTAAAGTCATTTGCGGTGGAAAAACTCACCTCAATTTGTC